TATTCATTCCCATATTTGGGAACACTTGGAAATGAGGACCAGAAAATATCATTTTCTCTCATTACCATGTTAGGTTAGTACAGTATTAGAAATGAAAAGTGGTTCAATTTTTCCAACAATACTTTTGTTTTATTATTATTAAGTTATTAATATGAAGAGTTTTGTAATGCTCAAAAATGGTATTTAAAAATAATAACATGGGCGAGTTAGTCCAAAAAAATTGCATTAAATGTCTTCCTAAGTGGGGGGAAAAAGTTTCCCAAAGTGAGCCAAAATTCCCTATATATTGGTTGTTCATGGTCCATGAGTTTAGGATTGCATTCCTAAGAGTGCACTAACCAAACATCGAAATGCAATTTGAAATATATTCTCAAGCTCCTAAACCTTGAATCAAACGGGCATTAAATTTAGAGGTTGATATAGGGCTGTGCATCTAAAACCAAAATACCGAAACCACACACTAACCATATCGTACCAAACTGGTTTCATACAGTTTCAATTGGGATGATGAGATATTAGATACGATACCGTAGCGTATCAAGGGAGTATGGTACGGTAGCGGTACCAGGTATTTGGTACCGGTCAGTACTGTACCGTACCAAAGTTGTATAATTTTTTCATTCTTTCGCCTCAAACGCCAAACCTCAATCTCTCAGAAACAGAAACGCTCTCTCACTCTCAGACACTCAGCCCGTTCGAACTCTCTTCCATACCCAGCTCTCTGTCTCTCTCTCAATCTCACTCGATTCAAGCTCTCTCCAAGCCAAATCCTTCTCTTCTCATCTCATCTCTATCTCTCGCTCGATTCAAGCTCTCTCTGTCTCTCACTCTCTCGAACTCAATCTCTGTCTCGCTTTCACTCTATGGATTTCTCTATCTCACTCTCTTAATCTTTCGATTTCTCCATCTTTCTGATCTGTCCCAGGCTCCTAGCCCTAGTTCCAATCCATCCCTCTCTCAGCTTTCTGGAATAACGAGCAGCCCCAAATCGACGAATGGACAAATGGTAAGTTTGTTGTGATTTTTGTTAATTTGTTTAGGGTTAATTAAATACGAATGAAGTTAAGGGAATTCCTTGTCTAGAAAGTTGATAGTGTGCGAGGAATGTTGATATAGTTAGAGGCTAGTTCATATTAAGTACTTGAAATTCTGAAATTATATCCTCATTTTCTGAAATTATGTATAAAATTAAACAGAACCAATTTCAACTAAATTTCTTTATTAGATGTCAACAATTCTAACTGAGGCATAATAAGATCAACACACACAACACAAGCATTAGTTTCCTCTCTGTCAACTTCTTTTTTGGATTGTGCACAGATCACCATCATCAAAACCACATTTGTTTCAAAGATAACCAACTATATCAAACCTGCAGCATATCAAATTTTCTGGCAAACATGAAAATGACGCCTAAAAAAAGTTCTTTTTGTTTTTCCTTCCCCCCCCCCCCCCCCCCCCCCACCCCCCCCCCCCCCTCTCCCACCCTTTTTTTTTTTTCCCTCCCCCCCCTGCCCTCCCCGCATTTCCCCCTTAGGTTTCATAATAAAAAGAAGACAATTTTAGAACTAAAAACCATTAAAACTTGACTCAGCTTTGTTATTGGGTATGGAGCTACATAGCAAGAAAATTCTCATTCACATACAAAATCTGCATTTCTTTTTGTTAATTACATCATGAATTGGTGCCTGATGTTTTTATTGATTGATGCTCTGTTTTTATCCATCCCAATGGCCACCTGAGCTAAATTGGTTGCTGCTCTATTTTTATTTTTATAAATTGGTGCCTGATGTTTTTATTTATTTTTATAAATTGTTGTGGTATATGCTGGTGAAGCAGAAACTTTATCTTGGGGTTTATTCTGATTTTTGTTAATTTAGGGTTTAGGGTTAATTGTTGTCTACATTTGGTTTGAGAATGAGAGATTGACAAAGTTATGTTGGGGTTTATTCTTGTCATGCAGTCTTGATCAAGGAAGCATCAAGGGCATAGTGGGCTTGCTTTTTCTTTAACGGCAACATCACCAGCATTACCACAGTGTGCTGTGCAACCGAAAGCCCAACCTTCTGAAGCTTATGTGCCCGAGCCAATGCAAGCCTAAGCTGTTGAGAGTAAAGATACAAAAATGGTTAGTGAACTGAACTCATATAACAAAGGTAGAGGTAATAAGAGAAGTTGGGCTTGGGATCATTTTACACCATATGATGATTAAAAAAAATTGTCAAATGAAAGGATGAGGCCACAAGGAAGATGGTAAATGTATAAGTTGTGAATAAAAGAGCTAAATACAGATATTGTCCTAAATCTAAAGTTGGTTTTGGAGATTATGCATGTGATAGTGGGAAAAATGGGACTTTGGAAATGATAAGCCACATTAGAAAATACTACAAATACTACCCACCTAACCAAGATAAAACATAAAAGATCATTACTAGTGATAAGGGTCAGAGTAACAAATTGGTTGGTAATGGGTTTATGCAGAGTGATGTTATGGATGCATGTGTTGAAATGATTGTGATTGATGAGTTGTCATTTTCTTTTGTAGAAAAAGAAAGGTTTTAGAAGGTTTTGTAGTGTTGTTTACTCAATGTTTGAAGTGCTTAGTAGGAGAAAAACAGTGAGGCGGTTTCTTAAAATGTATGATGCACAAAAAGAATAGCTGAAGAAAGATTTGAGTGGACATAGGATCAATCTCACGACTGACACTTGGACAAGTGTCCAAAACACCAATTACATGGTGCTCACTACACACTTTATATATTTTGATTGGAAGATGCACAAAAGGGTTTTAAACTTTTGTGTTATTCCTAATCACCAAGGCAACACCATATGAGACCTCATTGAGAGTTGTTTGTTACAGTGGGGTATATAGAAGGTTTTAACCATCACTATGGACAATGCCTCTGCAAATAAAGTGGCAATTGATTGGGTGAGATATAAAATGAACAAATGGAATAATTCACAGGTTGTTTTGGGTGGGAAGTACTTAAATATGAGATGATGTGTTCACATTACTAATTTAATTGTGTATAGTGGGTTAAGGAAGCTGCAAAAATCTATTTTGGCAATTAGGAATGCTGTGAGGTATGTTCGGTCATCTCCACAGAGATTGGATTGTTTTAAAACCTCTATTGAGAAGGAGAAACTGACCTGCAATGGTCTTGTATGCATGGATGTCCCCACAAGATGAAATTCAACATACATGATGTTGGATGCAGCCTTGAAATTGAAAAAGGTTTTTATTAGAATGACAGAGGATTTAAACAGCCCATTCATGACTTATTTCAAAGAGCCAAATAAGCTAGTTGATGAGGATGGTGTAGTTCAGACTAATAATAGGCAATGTCGGGTTGGACCACTAACTGATGCTAATTGGGACAATGCAATAGTGTTTGTGAGGTTTTTGAAGGTGTTTTATGAGGTGACCTTAAAGGTAAGTGCATTTTTGCGCCCCCACAATTCATAAAACATTTCACGCAGTTATTGTCATGAAAAAGAAGATTGACAAGTTGTTTGTGGCACCTAAATTTGCCACTGGTTTAGATGCAAAGAAAGTGTTGACTGACATGGCTGAAATTGTGAGAACAAAATACAATAAGTATTTTGTCAAATATCAGGATTTGAACATGTTGGTGTTGATTGCACTTATTTTGGATCCAAGATTCAAGTTGAGGCATATCACCCATCGCTTTAAAAAGGAAAAATTTGATAAGGATGATGTGCAAATAAAGACAAGAGAAGTGAAACGTGTGTTAATGACCCTCTATGATGAGTTTGTACCAAAGGTAGATGGTGGAATTCACATGAGACAGAATTCTACCACATAAAATGTAGGATCTGCAAGTGGTAGTAATAATATAGTTGAAGAAAGTGTTGCTAGTGATGATTTTTTAGATGATTGGATTAAGGAGGTGGAAGAGAGAGATGAGGTTGTGGTGTCACATGAAGTTGATTCTTACTTGACAGATCCTTTCGCTTTTGTTTCCAAAAAATCATTTTTTGACATATTGATGTGATGGAAATTCAATAGGCCAAAGTATCATGTCTTAGCAGCAATTGCGAAGGATATCCTTTCAATTCAAACTTCCACAGTGGCATATGAGAGTTGTTTTAGCACTAGTGACAAAATCACAAATGCATTTAGGAGTTCATTAACTCCTAGATCAGTGGAGGCTTTGATATGCATGCAAAATTGGTTGAGAGGGGATGAAATTTCAAGCTTGGAAATACACATTCGTTGAAGAATTTGAATTTTATGAAACCATTGAATCAGGTAAATTTATTTAAATACTGTTTGTAATTTGTATTAGTTTGCATTGAATTCTTTCTAATAGTTGTTTGGGTAATTTGCAAAATATGCAAATGATGGGGGCTACTTGAATTCAAATTGTGGGCTGCAAATGAAGCTCGGATTGTGTTTGTAACTTTGTAAGCCATAAGACATAATTTTAACAATTTTAATTTGTAAGCCATAATGCATGAGTTTTAATCATTTTGATTTGATGAATATGTTCAATCTGTGTTGATGGATATTGATTTGATTGATTTGAATTTGGTTGATTTGGATATTGAATCTGTTAAACTTGATGGATATTGATTTGGTTGATTTAGATATTGAATATGTTGAATGATATTGAATTTGTTGAATCTATTATAAGGCATCACTTATTTGGTGAACGAATTTGTTGAATATTTAATTGGTTGATTTTTGAGTTGTGTAATTTTGGTACCGAAATGGTATTGTTTCACACTGATACCGATTTGGTAAAATATGGTACGGTACCAACTTTAACAAACAATAATCTCATACCGTACCATACGAGGGGGCAGTATTTATAGCAATTTTACTTTTGCCCCGGGTTTATATAGCAATAGACGTTCGTTTGGCTCGTACATTTACACAAAGTACCTTTGGTCCCACAAATCAAATCAAATCATACACAAATTTGGTTACCAAAAAAGCAAGGCAAACATTTCACACTCGTTCAACCAAGCAACTGAATACAAAATATCCTCAATATAATTTCATTCTGGATAATGAGTAGCATACTTTTTAATTAATATATAGCCAGATTTGATCATAGTTAATTGCAGATTAACTTTTCTACATAGCCACATTCTCATACACAACCCCAACAGAATTTTATTTGAAGCCTTTTAACAGCAGACATCAAGTCCAACCAGAAAAACGCCACCAACAAAAAAAGAACCCAACAGACACTAGTCCATGACACAAAATGTAAACCTCAACTATGGATCAATATTTTTTCCTTAACCGGAGACTTTGACATCGACGACGGTGTTGTCGTCAGCCTCATGTTTCTCATGGGATCAAACCCTTTGCTCTGCAGGTATCAACAGCCCCTACGAACATGTTCTCCAAGCTGTATTTGAACTCAAACCCTTGGTCCGTCAACTTCTTTGAAGAAAAATGGATGTTCGTCAAGTTCTCCTCAATGTTATCGAACCTGCACGTGCAAACCAATTGGTCCAACTCTCAATTTAGTCAAATTCAATTATATATGTAATTAACAATAATTAAATCAATTGATGTTGAAGGGTTTAGTTAATTACTTTGTGGGAATATTGTACTCGGGGTATTTTTCTCTCAGCAATTTTGCAATGTCGTAAATTGTAGCATCATGGGAAGAACAAATGTAGCGGCCCTCTGCTTTAGGGTGCTCGTACAAGTATATGTGAGAGAGGCAGAGGTCGTCCAAGTGAACGAACTGCCCCCGCTTTATAATCGAATAATGAGATGTATTTCCTGTAATAATTAAGCAATATTTGATTAGTTTTGAACACTGATAATTAAAAAAATTGCAAAATATATATATATTTTGGGTACCAGTGAGTGGGGAAAGTCCGGTGATGAGGCTTGGTGGCATGGATGGCATGAGAAATGGACCAATCACAAGAGTTGGGATAATGGTAATGAAATCAATGTTGTTTTCTTTGGCAAACTTCCATGCAGCTTGCTCAGCTAGAGTCTTGGAGACGAAGTACATCTGAGGAGAAGACCACCATTACATCAAATCCAGAATTAACAATTTGATTAACATGTTTTTGAAGTTAAACAGAGTGTATGGATGTAATTATATTCACGTGTTTATCTTGGTCAAGTGTAATCTGTTGAAGTTGCGCGGTTCAATAACAAAATGCAAAAATGAAAAGACATGGGAAAAAAATAGATAAAAATGGAGGATGTAAACACCAGCCTTCGAACTGTTTTTGCCTTGAGGCATGCCTTGAGGATGTCTAGCACCCCATTTATTGTTGGCTTGATCACTTCGTTCTGCCAAAACACAACATGTTTTAACTTGGTTTAATTTTCTCTTCATTTTAGTACACGGGTAAAAAGCCCAAAAGAAACAAAAAAAATCTACTGGTGCTCTGCTCAACCAAAGCACCAAACTTGTCCTAATGGATTTTCTAATCGGCATTCTTGTTTGGGAAAATGACCCATATTGTTTTTTAAAGTGTATGATGTGCTCTTTCAAACAATGGGGTACCATTACTCTGTCATCTATGGCCATCAAGCGCAAAATAGTAAATTTAAAGTATATAATATAACCATGGGGTACCACTGACTTGTCCTGTCTGAAACAAATGAAAGAAAAATGCTAAGAAAAGACTTGGTCTGCTGCCTAATTGCATTATTTAATTGAAATTATGATGAGACATAAGAAATAAGGCTAATGTAAATATAATGGTAAGGCTACTGCATACCTCGGGGTCTTTGGACTCAAAATCCATAGGAGTGGCGACATGGAACACTCCGGTGCAGCCTTGAATGGCTTCATCAAAGCTTCCCTCGTCGGCCAGGTCAGCCTTCCACAGCGTCAAGTGCGTCTCGGCCTTTGGCAAGTCCAGCAGATGCTTCACCTTCTTCTGATTCGCTGTTACGAAAAAATATTAACCACGAATCATTAAGTCGAAAGTAATATTAATAATAAACTGAAGAAATAATGACTTGTGGGGAAAGGAAGACGGACCAGGATCCCTCACGGTGGCTCGAACAGTGTAACCGCGCTCTAAGAGTCTCATGATGAGCCATGAGCCGATGAAACCCGAAGCGCCCGTCACACAAACAGATTCAGACTCTGGTCCCATATTTGAATCAAATCAAGTATTTACTGCTTGCTTGTTCAATTTATATATGACAAAAGGAACAAAAGTGGATGCTCAACATTCCCAAACGTTTACCTTATAAATACTGACTAACGGGGGTACTGACTAGTTGGAGTTTCCTACGACCCCAGCTAACAATTCGCAGCCTAACACCCCCTCACACCCGCTTTTTCTGTTTCAGCTCAGCTTCCGGGCCATCACGTGGTTTCCTGGTAGGTGCACGTGCGTGGTAGTTGATTAATTTCTCGTTTTGTTTTAGCTAATCACCTCTAGTGCCGGCGTGGAATGGTGCAAGTGGCGCCATGAAATTTTTTACTTTATATTATCTATTAACATTATAAAAGTGTATTTGGTGGCACATCACTTGGTACAAGGCCCAAGTTCGAATCTTAGTGATGTCATTCTATTTATATTTTTCTTCGTTTTTCATTATAACAACAAAATTTAAAATAGTTTTTAAAAAATATATAAGCACGTGAAAAGGGAAAAAAAAGGGGGGGGAAGATCCACCTAAACTAACAACATTCTATATCACACCCAAAAGCTTTCTCCTTTAAAATTAAAAAAAAAGTACTTTCTTCCATTCAAAACAAAACCAAAACAAAAATTCATGTCATTCTTCTTTCTCTTGAACTCTTATTTTTCATCGTACATACTAATATTTAACTTTATCATATGAAAATATTAAAAAAATTATGAATCTGATTTGTGATTGTTATTACATGCTAATTAATGAATTTTAGTTATAAATTTTATTTTATTTTTAATGATATTAAGTTATGGCAAATTTGTTTTTTAGTATTTTCATATTATACTATGTGAGGGCTTTAGTTTAAATTTCGCACATGACCCTCAAAATCTCAAGACTGGCCTTGCTCAACTCTCCTCCCTGTCACACTCTCACTGGTATTCGATTGACTCACATTTTATGTGAACTAAACAAGGATTAAAATCCCTTTATTTTTAAATCACTTATATGCATAAAAATAAAAGTACACCTAGATTTATATGCTACCAAAATCAAGAAACATAAGAGCAAATGCAGCGCAGCCCCTCAGCCATTGCAACAGGCCCCCCCAGGCCCATTTTGGACCTCCAATGCGCAAAAGGCAGCCCGGGCAAGGAATGGGACCCACCAGTTCGGGCAAGCCCACGAGCAATTCTGGATTGGGCCGTTGCCCAAAGGCTACTGACGTTAGTGTAACGTCATGCTGACGTTAGTGTAACGTCATGCTGACATTAGCGGCTATTTTTCATTTTTTTTTTTGTTGTTTGTGCGTGGAATCCAACGACTGTCCAATTTTGTTGTTTCAAATCTTGCCTAATCCAACAGTTGTCCAATTTTTGGCTTAAAAAAATATCAAAAAATTCTGGAAATTTTTCTATAAATACCTACCAATATTATTCACTTTCCACACCAAATCTTCATACAAATTCATACCATTCCAATATTTTTTACTTTTCACACCAAATTTTCTACTACAAAATTTCATTTGTGCAAAAATACAAATGACATCTTCCATCGAAGCCTGAGAGTCGTGGACAAACATTTGAAGAGATCAAAATTTTGGAGACGAGGTAAAAAAAAAGAAGAAGTCATTTTATTCAATTTAATGTCTTTATATATATATATATATATATTTCTTGCATTTCCAATTTCATTTTTTAAAATAGATTATTCAAGGCAAAACAAAAAAGAGGAAAACCATTACATATGGCTCCTCAAGTGAACAATGCCGGCAGTCGGTCCCAATGGTGCGTTCCGTGTTGAAAATAATGGCACTATTACTTCCTCCAAAGGAAAATACTTCCCCACGTTGTGATCCAGTGGAACCGCCTCCGCCAATGATTGAGTCGTCTTTGTACTTGATTGTGTCAGACTATGAGGACCGGAAGTATTTCAATTGTATGATGAGTGAGATGTGAATTTTTAATAAATATGGACATGTGGCAATCGAAAATCTTATCTGAAAATTTAATTTGAAAATTTTATCCGGAAATGTTATCTGAATGTTTAGGTGAGAATTTTATAATAAATATTGACACGTGACAACCAAAAATCTTATCTAAAAAGCTTATTAAAATTAATGGTTTAAGTATAAAAAATAGAAAATAAATTAAAGTGAATAGTAATTGTCATTGCCCTTGCCTTTTGGGGTGGAACAAAAAAAGGTAAGGTTGCCACTATTCACATGAACAGTGACAAACCTTGCCTTGCCCTTGCCCTTGCCCTTTGGGGTGGAGGTGCTCCAATCCCATAATTTATGGACAAAACTATATCAAGAAATAAAAATACACTAATTTTAATATGCTTTGTATTTGTGTTATAAAACTGTCACACTTATAAATGGAAACTGTTATTTATACTGTAAAAATAAATCAACATACACTTTGCATAGTATAGTTTTTATATAATTCTGTATAAGTTCAATTCTTATGATAGAATTTGGGTGCAATCCACACAACGTATTGTTAGTAATTCAAGTCCTCTGACTTCAATGCCACATAGGATTACATTCCTTTTCTAATTTTATGATGTAATCATATATATTTTTTCTTTTTAAATTTATTTTCATGTACCAATTATGCCCTTATGATTTAAATTGGGAAAGACTGATTTATATCATAATAATTAGCTAATGAATACAACTATTGATTCTGATTGCAATTCATAAACGGGTAAGAATTTAATTTTAGGCCAATAATTACTATATTTGACCTTTTAGTTAATTTTGATTTGAATTTATAAAATATTTTCTTGTCTATCTATTTTAATTTTGAAAATCCCATAAACATGCTCTAATACAAAAAATAAAATAATAAATTTCCTATAATCTTTCTTCTTCATCTTGTTCATCTTCTTCTTTCTTCTTCCTTATTTTTCTTCTTACAATCCTATGGAGGAGGTATAATTATCTATGGACTAGGAATATACATGAATATTAATTAGGTATGGATAGGTAAATTACCTATGGAGGAGGTATACATATGAATGCTATTTATCTATGGAGGAGGTATACATATGAATGTTAATTACCTATGAATGATGTATACATAAACCTGCAATGCAGGTAAATCAAACCACCCAAGACATATATACTTCACCATAAGGTATTCACTGGTTGAAAACGATTGATAAATTGAGATTAAGTGTAGAAATGTGATATTAATTTATTGATTGCAGTAATTAATAAAATTTAGAAAATTGGCTGTACAATGGCAATATGTGTAAATGTGTTAAAAACAGTGGCCAAGGCTTTGCATACTTGGCTAGCCTATTGAGTAGCCAGACTCAATTTTATGTCAAAAGAGAGGTGAACTGCATTCACAGTGCAAACTCACCACACTGTATTATATATATATATATATATATATATATGAAAAAATGCAAAAAAAGAAGGGAAAAAAAAGAAGAAAAAGAAAAAGAAAAAGGAACTAAACAGACGCTCAATATTAAGTCATACGTTGGAAACCAAAACCAATTATCCTCATTTCCAATAAAAAATCAAGTGAACAGAATAATAATTTAAGAATTGATAACCTGTTGGGCAAAACCAAAGTTAGGGGTGGGCACTCAAACCGGCGAACTGGAAATTCAAACCGAACCGCACCGAATTAAATCGTAAAAAACCAAGTTGATCCGGTTTTATCTCCTTTAAAACTATAATGAACCGAACCAGACCGAATTAAATATATATAATTATTTAATTATATATATATATATATAGAGCTTCCATTGAGGGATCTCTCAAATAAGCTTATTTGAGGGACACCTCTTGTAGGCCCCACTCCGAATTGTATTTCACTAATCCAAACCGTCTATTTTGTAGATACTCATTCAAAGATCATCTCTACAAAAAATTATTTGAATCCGATTTCATTTGACCACTCAATTGAGTTATTGAAATTTTAGTACTTTCTTAAAGCACCGTGTTCGTTGATTTTGTAAGACACAATTGGATGTCGAAACGGTTTCCGATTTGTCTAATTTTTTGTAAGGATGATCTATGAATGAAGAATTAAAAAATACATGGTTTGGATTATTGGGAAAAAAATTGTAGGTACCCTAAAGGGCGTCCCTTAAATAAAATTATTTGAGGGATCCCTCAATAGAAGGGGACTGTATATATATATACTTGAGCCATCTCCAAGCCCAACGTCAGCTAACTCTAGCCCAACTTTTGTTATTTACTTTATACCATTAAAAATACAAAACAAATATTATTTATTTATTGTCCAAAAACTAACGACAAGAACACATGCTTTCATCTTTTCAATGTTTACTTTTTCTTCTCCCTGTCAGATTCATCTTTTCAATGCTTACTTTTTCTTCTCCCTGTCAGATTCATCTTTTCAATCTTCCTTTTCTCTTTTTTTCCCTCTCTTCGTCTCTTCTTCCTTTTTTTATCTTCTATTTTTCCTCTCTCTTTCTTGTCCCTCTTTCTCCGTCTCTTCTTCCTTTTTTTTTTTTTTTTCTTTTTTTCTTTTTTTCTCCCTCTCTCTCTCTCTCCCCTTCTCTTCTTCCTTTTTTTTCTTCTCTTTTCTGGTGCGATTTTCTTCTCTTTCTCTGCGATTTTCTTCTCCTTCTCTCTCTCTCTCTCTCTCTCTCTCTCTCTCTCTTCTTGTAGATCTAAAATTAGATATGTGGGCATTTGTTTGTTGAATATGTTTAGCAGTTTAGATCTGTTATTGTTGAATATATTTTTAGCTTGGTTTATTTGCATTCATTTGTTTATATTTGAGATTATTCTTATATCGTTTGGGTTGCAGAGAAATTTATTAGATATGAGGAAAAAACAAGACCAACTTGAGATCGGGAACCGGAAGAACTGAACTGGTCTTTAGAGGTCCGGATTGGTTCGGTTTTACCATTCATTTTAGTTGAAAACCGGTTCAAATCGGACCGGATGAATAGTACGGTTTCGGTTGCAATTTTAAGTGAGAACCGGTCCAAACCGGATCGTATCCAGACCTAACCAAAGTGATTAATTCATCAATCTGTGGGTTTTAACCAGCAGTCAAAGCCAAAGTAAAAAAATACTTTTAAAAAGGAACTGGTT